GATTTGGAGGCACTGAGCCTCATCCCGGCCGCTTCGCACTCGGCCGCGAACCGCTCCAGCGAGAGCTGCAGATCTCGTTCCGATGAAGCCAATCGGCGAGGAGAATTTTTCAGTTTTTCAGTAATCTTTAATTTTAGTGTGAAAAGAGCAACAGAGAATCAGCTTAAATTATATTTTTCTGTCTTCTTTTCTTGTTTTAATGTTAAATAATAGTATGTTTAGTGAGTTGTATTGATTCTTTTCTTTAACTTTTTTTAAATTATCTAAATGCTACATAAAAACAAATTATGGAAAAAAATCATTTGTATTTCTATGAGAAAAATTATGTAACATTTCTCTAACATATATAATAGGGCTGTAACAATACATCAATTCACATATCATGCCATATTTATTAATATAATGGTTAATGATTCAGTTATATTGGGGTAAAATGAAAACAAAATTTATCTATGTCGTCATCATACGCCTGATGTGGACCAATATCATAAGCCCATCTAGCACAGTCATTGTGTTAGATGGACTTATGATATCACATCATATCGATCACAGACTTGTGAACTGAACTGAATCAAATTGTATCGTGACAGCCTTTGTAATATCAAGCAATATCCTATTGTGATCTAAACAAATTGATATAAAATTGTATTGTGGTTAATCTGATCATTTACACCTCTAATCTAACATCAGAACTTGGCCCTTGGCTTGGACCAAGTTTTGAATTTTGTCCCTCTTACATAAGTGAGTTTGAAATTCTCTTTGTAAATGATTGTTTGTGGCATCACAACGTCTCAGTTGTTAGCTCTAATGCCTCACTGCAAAAAAGTCCTGGGTTCAATCCCCGGTTCAAGCTAGCATGGGTTTTTCTCCAGGTACTCTGRTTTCCTCCCACAGACCAAAAGCATGTCAGGTTACACAAGTAGGCATTCAGGAACAGGTTTCCCTCGTGAAAGAGATTTGTGATGTTGGTAGGAATTGCCTGGTTAAATGTTAATAATAATAATAAATTTCTCCATTTATTTTGCAAAATCTTAGTTCAAACTACGTATAGATGACTGAGTTTAAGCCATTTTTGTATTTCCTTGAGGTGATTTCCTTGAGGTTCTGTTGCCCATCTTGAATCTCAAATAGTAAGTTGTAACTGTACATCCAAAGGTTAGTTTCTAAAAGTTCCACTAAAATCTACGCAGTGATGCATGAAATCATTTGCCAACAGACAACCAGTCACACAATCAAACATAAGCAACTACAGGACTGCCCACCTGCCATTGCTGTAACATAATAATGGCTCCCAGTAAACATTTTTTATGGTGAGTTTTGCTTGTTGGTTTGTTCATATGGTTGTTTTTATACAGAATGAGAGTTTTTTTAGGATTTTATAAGTTACATCCTATTATTAATTTGATAAGACTTCATAAATATTTGTTTGTGTTCCTTGAACAAAACCAGCAAGAAAAACATTAAAATCTGGAGTGTATAATTGTCTGGAGGCAAACCATTAACATTTATTATTAAATAATATAATCTTGACACAAAAGCGTTAATATATAACTACAATATATTTAATAAAATACTATAACATTGCAGTTATCCTAATGAAAACAATTAAAGAAGTTAACCAGGAAGTCCCAAAGAACAAAAGTCCTTATGAATATGTAGTACTCTCTGAGAACAAGGTCTCACCTTTGCCCTGGCTTTTGGCCTCTTCCAGCAGAGGTAGCATGATAGCGTTGTTAAGGCTGGAGGGCGATCGCATCGCAGTGGTGTACATGAGCGGCAGCGACTGCACCACAACAGGGATGCGGTGAACATGGCTGGCCAGCTTCCCTGCTCCCTGCAGGCTCAGGGGGCTGGATGGAGGCGGCGGCACAGACTGCAGGATGTGCAAATACGGCTGACCTCTCACCCCACTTCCAGGGGCAACCAGAGGGCCTGGCGTGAGCACTGACGAGGCTGAGGTGATCACCGATGGAGAGGATGAGGAGGACGACGACGACGATAGGGACGATGGGGAAAAGGCGGATCTGTGAGGGGACGACGATGAGGAGGGCGATGAGGTTTTCGTGGTGGCAGATGAAGAAGAGGGGCGTGGTTTGTTGATGGACAAGTCCACAGGCTCGGTCTGCGTGTGGAAGTGGAGGTCGTGAGCGAGCAGGTCTTCAGGGGGTTCGGGTTTCACTCTGCTGAGGAAGAAGGGGAGGCCATCCATCGCAGAATAAGGGCGAACTTTAGGTGACTGTGAGAGTGAAATAAAAGCATTAATGTTAGAGTTTTGTTATTTCAAAGCTATTAAACACATTATCCTGTGACATACAGTAGCACAACTAAACACATAAAAGCAGCTGAAATCTTATTTTCCACAGGCCATATAAGTGAAACACTGACAAATTGATGTCAAGGATAATTGTTCTTGTAGATATTTACCATCAGAAATAATTATGCAGCATAATAGAGATGTCAGAAAGGTATATGCTGTGACATTTATATATAAAAGGAACAGCTACTTTCCTTACATTCATTCAAACTTTTTTCTCTTCCGATTATATGAAATGCACGAGTAAAGTCTGGGGTCTCTCACCAACGCCTCCTCTACACTCTTTTCTTTTCTGTCGGCGTGGGCTGCTCTCTTTCTTTCCTCCTGTTTTCCATGACTCCCACACAAATGCATCTCTCTCTCTCTCTCTCTTGGCTACCCATGTATCTCTCCTAAATCTCTTTTTTGTGACTGTGGAAAAACATCATATGGGCTCAATTTCCTGACCGTCTCCCTCTGTCTCTCAGCGCCGGGCCTCGTCAGGCCAACGCTGGTGGCTCAGAGTAACCCCTCAACACATCTTTTTGCTTAACACCAAGCAGACTGGAACCGGCGCTCCATCTGTCTGCAAGATTCAGGGACGTGTTTACTCAGAGGACGCACGGCACGGAGGCGAAGCAACTATTTGTTTCGTTAGATGCCCCGAAACGTTGGTCCCTCTTTAGTGTCTGCAATCCTCGCTATGATGTCATTCCTCCCCGAGTTTGCGTGTGATGTGGCTGAGCATTGCAGATCTCCACTCACTTGGTTCAGAGAGGGGAGGTAGTGCTAACAGTGTGTGGTGTTGAGCTTCTCAGTGGAGCTTTTCAGAGACTGACTCACAGGCAGAGCTATCAGGGACGAACAAACAGGAATTTTTACAAATCAAACTAAAACAACAACAATAAAAAAAGCTTTGAAAAGAGTTAAAAGGAAAATTATTTTCCAAAGCTGCAGCAACAGAAAAGAACATAAAACATGCTATGTGATTTTTTTTTTTTTTTTGACTCACATTTCTGTCTCTTTATGTAATGCTGAGATTTGACCCATGCAGAATTGTTTTTTTTTTTTTTTTTTTTTTTTGCCTCCTGATTCTGTGTGAGCTTTTTTTCTGTAGTGGCCTACTATTTTTACTCCAGATTTTTACACTCACTTGTTTTCAGCCTACAGGAAATGTTACGACCTCATGAATTAAAAAAAAAGAAAAAAAAACAGCCCTTCATTGCAAAACTCCAAAACTCCTCCCTCGTTGGAAAACAAACCCTGCCCTGTGAAACATGCCCTCTGATAGCCTCCGGACCTTGTGTGGAGTTCAACTAAGGGCCACTGGTGCTAGTTCAAGATTCACAATATGTTATAATGGTTTGTTTTTACCATGCACAATACATTTTTAATGTATTTTAATGTATTTTATTTACCTAATTTGATTTAACTTCCTTTGCAGCACACAATGTAAATGTAAATGTGGGGGGCACATGATTAACCTCGTCCTGTTATAAGAAAAGTCATGGATTTATGTTTTTCCTGCTGGTGTAGTTTAGTCAGAAGCTTCCGTGAAGGTTGTTGACCATTTATAGCCAATAGTTATTAAGTTATAACGGGCAGAGTACACTCTTCCTCTCAGAGGTCGCTCTTGGAAAAACAAAAGAACAGTGAAGATTCTTCAGGCAGAAATAAAAGACTTTCTTCTACAAAACATTCAAAAATAATTGGATCGGATAAGAGAAACTCGTAAGTGTTAAGCATTTAAAATACTATGTGAACGTAAGCAAGGTGATGGTGAAACATGTCAGGTTAAAGCTTCAGTGTTTGAACAGTTATGATTAGTTCTTCTGCGATTGAGCAAAATGCAGGTTTTAACAGTGGCAAGTGTCTAATAAATAAGGTTTCATATGTAATTTTTCCATAAGGGCTATATACATGCACACATAGACTGTTCTTATCAAGTGTTAAATCTTGATGATTCACATATTGTAAATGGACTGTACTTATAGCACCTTTCTATCCAACCAGGATACTCAAAGTGCTTTACACTACAGTCTGTGCTCTCATTTACCCACTCACACACATTCATTCAGCACTATACAAGATCTCTACAAAGCTACTGCAGGTAAATCAATCTACAGAGACTAATCAATGCTTTAAATACACTATATATTCTCATACATCAATGGGACACACATCAGAGGCAGTGGGGGTTCAGTGTCTTGCCCAGGGACACTTCGATATATGACTGAATAGTGGTGGAATTGAACTGCCAACTCTCACATTAGAGGAACAACTCCTCTAAACCACTCATCCACAGCTGCCCATAGTTCTTACTGTGCTGCTGTACAATCAAGTACTTATTTTATTCAGTATGCTTAGGTGTAAATAATTAGAACAACATTATCTGCAGATATTAGCTGCAGATCTTCTACAAGTCTGTTGTTGAGAGCATCAGATCTGCCATCATCTGTTGGGGCAGCAGCATCAGAGCCAGGGACCTAAAAAGGCCAAATAACCTGATAAAGAAGGCTGGTTCTGTTCTGGGAACAACTGTGCAATCTCTGGGGACGATGGTGCAAAGAAGGATTTTACATAAAATCAAGAACATTGTGGACAACCCTGACCATCCTCTTCATCAGACTGTCATAGAAAGACAAAGTGTCTTCAGTCGAAGGCTTCTTCAACTTCGCTGTAATACAGACCGCTACAGAAGATCTTTCCTGTCCACAGCCATCAGCATCTACAATGTTTTTAGTTAAATGAGTTACAGCAACACCTAATGTCCCTCTGGGATCAATAAAGTATTTTTGAATWGAATTTGAATTATGTGGTTAGAACCCGGGCCTTTCAGTCTCCAAATTTTGATAAGAAACGACAGGGACATTCAGTTCAGTATTACGAAATGTCAACGGATATAACTTACTTTGCTTGTTTAAAGAAACAGGAATCTAGATTAAAGATTCTTTCAAAACTCACTGTTTATTTGATGCTGTTTGCAATTTCCTTTTACTTGTGAAAAAATTTAGTGCACAATCAAAAATTAGTGATGACAAGAACAGGAAGAAAACATCATAAGAAAGTCTTCATAGTGGGCATGAGCAAAATTAGCTGCTAAGTCATTGTTTCATAAAAACAGCCATATTTCATGTTGACAGGGTCTCCAGAAATGAAGGTTTTAATAATCTGTTTTTCTCACCTAAAAAAAACTCACATTTTCTTTACAAATATTCGAAGTAGTGGGAATGCAGCCTAAAGAGAAAATAATAAATTGTAATCATGCACACTCTGTTTCTAGGACTTCATTTTTATTTATTCAAGCTTTTTTAAAGCCACTTGTTTGTCTTTTTTTTGTATATTCCTTTCCTTTTTTTCTAATTTGATGATAAAGGTAAACATTTAAGGAAAAGGCAGTGACTAAGATTCAACAGGCACTCTCACTGTGTAAAACAAATGTTGAAGAATAATGTGTCCATGCCATATTGCCTTATATGTTTTAAGCCTTTTTTACTAACAGAAAAAAGAGGGAAAACTAGATCTAAACATGGACCAGAAAAGCCTGAGAGGATAGGAAACATTTTGGATGCAACACCATAAAAGGAAATCATAGGCACTGAGGTTAAGACTCATTGCTAAGTTTGTCTGACATAAAACGAGGCCATGCATGGACACAAAAAATCTATTTCTGGTTGATTGGTGTGTTGAAGTGACATCAACTATGCAAGGTAAAGTTCTGCTAGGTTTTATAAAAAGTAATAGCCTTAATACCCCCAGAAAAGCTTAACATTACTGTTTTAATGTATCCATTTTAATTTATATTTAATGTGGTTGTGATTTACTTGAAAGGTTTCAGGTCAATTTCCTGTCCCTGCTAAGTCCAGAAAAGTTTGAAAACTCTTCTTGAAAGTGGCTTCAACATGGCTAGCTGGCTGTGTGTGTGGAAGACAAAAACAACAGAGCAACACAAAAATGCAAATCAAAAACTGTTGCATTTCGGGGTGAGGTTCTCAAACAACTGAAAACTAACAGGAATGGAAAACTTGAACCACCTCTGCTCTCATTTTGACAAACACAAACACACAGATGCATTCAGTCCTACACAAACGCACACAAACACGTCGACACACAAGAAGTTAAACTCGACCTGCCTGCCTCAGTCCTCATGCATTGTCTTTATTAGGGGATACTGGTTAGCCGGGCAGATTTTCCAGCCCCTTGCAGGCGAATTGTCTAACGAGGCAGACCATTTCCAGCAAAGCCTTGGCCCTGTGCCACTCAAATGAAGACCACATTTCTGCAGCAGTCTAAACTGTCTGCATCTGCCATCTAAAGGGAAGCTCAGTCTGTTGGGGCGAGATTGGATCTCAGAGCACTTCAAAAGCTGTGTGGGCTGCAGCGCTCACATCCTGTCTGTGACTGACATCACTACAAGAATGATTTCAAACCCCAGGTATTAGGTAGCAGTGAAAGAGCACAGCTCTCAAACCCYTGAGCCTCAGCCGAGGGCAGGACACAGAGAACAGAACCCACCTGCTGCCTAGAAGAGGTGAGGCAGATTCAGTTTTTATCATCAGACAGCGCCTCTTTATCCAAACAACTGTCTTKAAGAGCAGCGATAACCTGACGAGTTATCAGGGATCAGTATTTTATCTAATCTTTGGAGGCTTAGGTTTATCTCAGTGGAAAGTGCTAAAAAGGTCTTCCACAAAAAATATTGGGAATAATTAGGTGGGGGAAGGCATTATTGATATTTTATAAATGGAAAGAGCCAAGCACTAATTCATCATTATTACAAATATTAAGTGGCCTGTTCTTGTTGTACACAGCTGTGGCAGCACTACTGAGCCACGCAGCCCTTGTAGCCTAGCAACAGCCTCACAATAACAAGACCACTTCATTTCTAGGTATGTCAGACCAGAGAGCACTGATACTGCATGTGGGCCATGAAAGCTTAGCACTAAAGTCATTTTATTCTACCTGACAAGACCAACATGAACTAAAAACGAAGAAATGCAATTCAACAATGACACATGGGTGTTTGTGAACAGTTTGCTTTATTTCTGCGCAAATGTGCCAATAGAAAAGCACTGAACAGTGGTGCACATGATGTTACTGCATAAAGAAACCCACTGCATAGATAAGTTAAGGCTAGATATAATTATAGATACATTGKACTGTAACTATAGAATTTGCGTTCTGAAAATGGATACTTAGTTCTAAAAGATTGTTTCAGTTTTTTGCTAAAAAATGAAATTAGCAAAAAAAAAAACAATAATAGCTGAAAAAGCTGAATCTAATGCAGAAAGAGCACAATTGCTGAATTAAGCAATATGTAGCTGAACATATAACAAAAAAAGTTAATTTAACTGCAAATGGCTAAGACTGGATAAAATAGCTGAAAAGTAGCCTCAAATGCAGAAAACAGCTGAAATAAAAAAGCTTAAAGGGGCAATATCGTAAAATCAACTTTTTGAGTTTTATATCATGTTATAATGTTATCCTCTCATTAAAAACCTGCCCAGAGTCTTACTTTGACTCATTCATGCATGTTTGAGAAATCCTGTAGTGTCCTGAGGCAGACAGGCAGGGGAGCAAAAACAACCGGTTGGGACTAGAACCACCTTTTGGGATCAGCTCCTCCTCTGAACTGTGTCTCCAAGCTGAGCTTCCTCATCACAGAGCACACACACMCAGCCCTGTGCTGAAATGAGCGGGACAGAAGCGGMAGGRGGTTCTTAAAGAGACAGAGGCCAATTTCAAGGCRTTTAAAAACATACTGTATATGATGAAAAGTCAAGTTTGTTTTCTATTTAAACTTATGAACAGCATTTTAATAACACCTGAAGRTGATAGTTATTTTTTTGATCAAAGTATTTTTATTATTTTTTATTTTATTTTTTATTTTTTTGAAGGTGATAGTTATTTTATTATGGCATAGGCAAATATATGCCNATATATGCCTGAGAAACAATAAAATAGCCCCTTTAAATTAGCAGAGATAAGCTGATGGAAGCACAACATTTAAATCAGCAGAATCACTAGACAGATAGCTGAAAAAAGCTGAAAATAATTTAATTAGCAATAAATAAATAAATAAACTGAAGGAAGCTAAAATTAACAGTAAAAGTTAAAAAGGCAGAACCATAACAATTGGTGAAAAGTGCACAAAAAGTTCAACTATTTTGAAAGATTTTATGGATGCTCAGATCCATTCATTTTCAATGAGAACAAAATTGGCCAAAAAAGCTAAATACCTCAAAAAGTCCAAATTGCTGAAATACCAAAAGTCATAGCCGGGATGTCCCGAAGGAGCTGAAGGTTTTGATACATGAATTATTGAATTAACAAGATTATATGAAGAAAACTTGATCATCTTAATAGAGAGAATGCTCRATATTATTCACACAATAATTCTTTTTTTCCAAACAAACAAGTGATCGGAAAGAAGATTCAACAAGAACTTTATGCWATGTAGAAAATATGGTGGAGGTAGTATAGTGCTGTGGGCTTGTTTCGTCACACTTGAAAGGCTGGATGGGATAATAAATTCTAAACACGAATCAATTAGTTTAATTTTTCATTTTAAATACTGTATCTTAAACAAAATAATGCTTTTATTGTCCAGACAAGAGGTACTCAGAACTTAGCAGCCAYGTTTCCTGATGGATAAAACTGTTACACATTCTGGTTGTTCTTGGTTAGATGGAGCAATAATTTCTTCCAGATGCCAGGAGAATAAACAACACACAGGAGGTGAGCAGTCTTTGACACACCTCGTAATGCCCAGGAAGAACAAAGACTTGCAGCTTTGAGAAGACCTGGATGACTCCTTGGTCCTGATGTCTTTACACCAGCCTGCAYCTATAAGCTCTGTGGTTCTGCTGTTATTGCTCCAAGTGAGACGACGAATTTCTTATGTTTCCTCATAACRTTTGTCATTGTCTGCCTGCTTAACTCAAAGATGTGTCGCAGATCCAGGAGCTTCTGCTGTTCTGTCTGCATGGAAGGATGTTAGCCCATCCAACTGGACTGCAGAGTTTGAAACATTGCTCTGGAGCCGAGTTTCAATCAATACAAAGACACAATATCTCTAACTTTGTGCTGCACCTGCAACTGCAGTCACAAGTAATCTATCCTAACTTTCATTTAATGGACATTGGCGAGAAAAGGTGCTGGTATTCTTTGGTCGTGTTTAGGTTTTTATCTGGTTAAAGCCTTTTTCCCTTCATTTCTTGTAACACACTGTTTTTTTCCTTTTTTTACTGGTTTACTGACTTCCTGTTTAGCAGCTCAAATACATAACTCCTCCTTCACATTTGGAAGGATMCAAAATTCCAAAGACTTTAAGAATTTTAGTGTGTGTGGACAGAAATTTGAACTTTTCTCARAAACAAGATGCCACTGGATTTATTGCACGATTACTGCGGTTTTCATCTACATTGTATAAGCAAAATTCTGATGGAAAGTGCCTGTAGGCTGAATATATTCAAAAAAAAWTTGACAGTAACCCTAGGCATATAAGTCACTCTACCATATAAAGGTTAAAGAAGAATAAGTGTAATGTTTTGGAAAGACTGGCCCAAAGATCTGACCTTTGTTCAGTCGAAACGTTGTGGTGTGACCAAAAGTTCAAAAGTTCATGTGAGGGAACCAACCGACATCTCCAACTTAAAGCTGTTCGTCACGGACAAAAGAGCTCAAATTCTTTCAAGCTGACGTCCAGAACTGATCAACAGTTGCAGGAAACATTTAGCTGCAGTAATTGCTCTGCATAACACAGTCAAACCAGCTCCCTAGAAGATAGCATTAGATCATTCAGTCCTTAAATCAAAGAACATTTTGAAATTCAGACAACTTTACAAAAGGATTCAGAAACTAAGTATTTATTATCTGTAGGTTTTTGTGTAAAACAAGCATATTAGGCTAAAAAATTTACCCACACTCACACAAGGCTTGTAGTGACAAGCCAATCTCAGTGTGACAAATTTGTGCCGAGTAACAACGCCGCAAAGGTAACTTAAGCTCTGTGAATAAGTTGAGGCATGTGTGATTTAATACATAACTGTGCTAAAAATGGAAGTGAGTAATGTGTTGTGTTTGTGCAGGAAAAAGAGATTATTCATGTGTTTGTCAGAAAGAATGGCATGGGGAGGATGAAGTGAGGCTTAAACGTAAAGAAGTAGGAATAGACAGAGACAGATAAGATTTAAGGTTTCCCATGCAACCCTCCTCCCAAAAGCAGCAACTACATCTGCACAATCACCCCCCAGCCGGCGTGGACTCTGCTGGCCCCAGTCACCTCCCCAAAGGACCCCGCTGCATTCCTGCCCCAGCTGTGGCTCTTTTTCCTTTTCATGGTTCTTCTCTTCTTTCTGCCTACTACCATGCTCCCCAACCACTCCTCTTAGCCCCACAGTCACTCTCTCAGTCGCTCACTAGTTTCAGGCCTGGGAATGATTATCAGCCCATTGCCAAGAGGAGGAAAGAAGGAAAGGAAAGCAGGAAAAAAAAGGGGGGGGGGGGAGTTGTCTGGAAAATAACTGCTCCCTTACCCCTTGTTCCGATTCCAGGGGCTCAGCTTTGACTCGGACGGCAGGCATTCCGTCAATCATTAACATCCTGTTTCTTCGGCTGCCTGTGAAGRAACACAGAGGAGGTGTAAGACGGGTGTTTTACAATGACTAAGCAGGTCCCACACTCGGTTATTCACACATGGACATTGACARTGTTGTGCTGGCGCCCACTGAGAGATGAGCTTGCTTTAAAAAAATCATCATAAGCTGACAAACCACAGATGAGCACAAACAGTGGAAGCTCAGTCGGTTCACAGCAAGAGTCCCTCCAAATAATTTTGGATATCCTGATTTGCTGCTGTGAGGCTTACTGATTACAATTCTCTTCAGATTTCAGTGGAATAAAAACACACGACTGACACTCAACAGCAGCTTTCTTCTCTGATAATAAATCTGAATTGAAAAAGTCAAAGTAATTGTGCTTACGCATAATTATTCAGAGTACGTGTTTTAGATTTGAACAATTTTGTGCAAGAACTTTTGAGTTGTACTGTATATAATGTTAATGCAGGACCCACACAAACACACTTCTGCAAATAATTTCTCTCCGTCTGACTCTTTATGTCAATAAAGTGGGCAGCAGTGCCAGTCGCCTCAGCTCCATGCACAGACTCGAAGAGGGACGGAGCCAACGACGACAACAATGCACGTTCCATATCCCTCAGCTGGTGCCGACCTGAGGTAACCCTCCCTCTTATTTTCTCAGCAGCTTTACATGGAGGAATGCAAGCAAGACTAACAGACTCTAAACATCCCTATWACTGTCTACTGCCGGCCCCGCCGGCCAGGTTTACAGCTCCATCATTACAGTCAGAAACAACGAGGCAAGTGGGACCACTGTTGTGCTGAGAAAACATGCTGAAACAGAAATGAATTGTACGCTTTTTTATTGTTGTCGATGATGATGCCAAATTAGACTAAATATCTTGCTTTTTTTAATTTCTTGGTTCATAAAAATCCATTTGAGACAACTATTAAAAAATACAACAAATTGTTGTCGTTCCTCCGATTTTTCAGCTGAAGATAATCCTGAGTGTTTGTGTGCGAGCAGAGGTATAGAGAAATAGGSAGGATTTACTCCATCAATTTACAGCAAGCCCCCCTACCCCCCAGAGCTCGCCTCTCAGGTCTAAGTCCCTCAGGTACCCTGGCTGTGCTGCTATTGTATTGTTGTCCAGGATGTCCTTCGGCTTCAGGTCTTGGTAGGCCCAGATAGCGTTACCATAGTAACAGTTGGCGGGCGGAGCCGCAGCCTCAGTCCAGCCTCGAGCCATTTGTTGAGGAGAAAAGGAAAGAGAGTGCTCTGAGACGGGCAGAAAGTAAAATTTGTTTTTCTCTGAATGGCTGTTTATTCTAACTGTTGTTCAGCTCAATGGTGAAAAAAAAGCGTATAAATATTTAATTAGATATGCATCATATACAATCTTAATTTTCTCTGCTGACAAAAGTTGTCAGAAACTACTTTTCTAACGCTAAAACAACTTGACTTTGTTTCTGTATTTATCAAGTCACAAATGCTCGTTTCTCAAAAGCAACAACATTCACATTTGTGCCTGAAGTCCAGCTAATCCAGTGGTTCCTAATGAACTGGCCTGCAGAGGCCCATTCATAGGAAATCAATGGCAGTTGCATAGCTCTGCTTGTGACTGCAATGACTAAAGAGCTAACAGCAGCGAGAGAAACCCAACACTGGGTAATGAGCTAATGGTGGAGTGCTGCGTATTGAGGAGGTTGTGCAGAAACCCCTTCAAGTCAACAGCTTTTGTATTTTTATTTTTGCTCCAAACGAGTGGATCATTTCTGCAGCTGAATGTCAGAAATCACAAAGATTAGGAATGAAAAGAAAGATTGTTTGTTCTTGATCACTAAATTTGGTCGGCTGGCGGCGGGGCTAAGGCACCCAGTGGTGTGCTGTCTGTCAACAGTCTGAGGCGCTGTGTGTGGGTGATAGAGAGGAGGGAGGGCGGTGTCTAGAAGGAAGCAGGAAAGATTAAGATCGCCTTTCCATTTGCTGCACTCTGAAATGAAATGGCCATCCCAGGTGTGCGGGGGGAGCTGGAGAKGGAGAGCAGGGCAATGGAGTGTTGAGGCATCTCATTTCTCCCCCCAACAAGCCTCCCTCTACCCCCACAGGTGGAAGGAAGCAGGTGAGGCTTGACGCCAGAGTTACCAGCAGAAGTGCTTCATTCACAGACACATACTGTACTTCTGTGTTCTTAGTTTTCTGTTGGTGCGAATGCGTAAAGTAACTCTGAGCTGTCTCCTGAGTTTGGTGGACACAGAAACACTAGTCAGATGGACAGTAAATATTTCAGAATTAAAGGGCTGTGTTGTATTTATGCCTGCTTAAACAAAAAAATCACCAGCTAACCCAATTTTACTTAATCATGCAGTTTAAAACACAACTATTGGAGTGTTAATTAAAAAGCTGCAAATCCGCTGTAGCAGGTGAATATTTGTTCTTTTAAATGATGCCTTTGAARTGTTTGTAAACTAAATACAGGTGTTCATGAAATACTTCTGATCTTTTAAATTTGAGGCCCCAAATTATTATCCTACCTGTCGCAGCCCCTCAGTTTGGAGAAATAGTTTAATTCAGACAGAACTAATGACAGTTTGAGCATGGACCACACTGCAAAAATTAGCCATCTAAGAATAAGTTCAAAAATATTATATTATAGTCTGAATCTTCTCAAATTAAGTGAAATAATCAACAAGTGCAGCAAGATAATTGCACTTGACTTCTTGAAATAAGGAAAATTTCCAGGCTAACAAGAACAATAATCAAACACATTCTGCTCTTGCAAAGTGGATTATTGCTGTCAACTTTAAGTTAAAAAATGTCTCACAAAAACAAATGTTATGAACCTTTACATTGCTGTCAGTTTTTTCCACAATAAATATTGTAAAAATATCATTTGATCCTCCGTCCAGCCGTTATCAGGTGTTGTGTCCTTGGGCAAGACACTTCACCCACCTTGCCTACTGATAATGGTCAGAGGACCCGGTGGTGCCGGTGCATGGCAGCCCCACTTCTGTCAGTGTGACCCAGGGCAGCTGTGGCTACAATGTAGCTTACTGCCATCACCAGTGTGTGAATGAATGTGAGTGTGAATGGGTGAATGTCTGTAAGTGTAAAGCACTTTGGTGTCCGGAGGGACTTGATAAAGCGCTCTATAAGTTCAGTCCATTTACCATTTAATAGGCTGCACCAGAAGTGCTCCAGCTAGTTTCTACAGCTGCTAATTTCCAGAAACATGACATATAAAACCTTTTAGGGCTAAACTGATGGCAAGATAACAGTTTAGCAAAGGCATTTGCATGAACCACTGTGATTCATTAATTTTTTTTTTCAGATTGCAGTTGTTTTAAGACGTTTGCTTTGGTTTTGACCTTGATAACACTAGCTGTTAGTTTGTCAATTTAGCCAAAATTAAACTTTCTGGTAACCGAAGCTTGTCAAAAAGCTATCAATAACAGGTTAGATGGGTGTATCATTTGTTCACAAACCTTATMCAGAACCCAATTTCAATTAATTGCTTTAGTTATGTTTGTTAAAATATTAGGTAAACCACTTTTATGGCCAGAAAAGTATTTTGTTAACTTTTTGTTGGCAAAGAATAGAATAGAATAGAATAGAATAGAATAGAATAGAATAGAATTTATCATCCACAAAGGGAAATTTGGATGCTGCTAATTTATCTAAATTCCTGTATTCTGCTACTTTAGCTGTTTTGTGTGAGAGGATGTGTGATTGTGTCGTTGGTGAACATATGAGTYACTATGAGCTTGAAGAGAGATGTTTCTGTTAGTTCCTGTTCAAAAACAAATTAAACTTTTGTTTCAATGAAAGTACGATTTAAACAAGCTCGTGAATCCAGATTTAGTAACTGGCTGAGTGTACGGTCTCTGCTTTCTCTCTTATCTCCTACTCTCATGTGAATGTAGTCACACACAGAGAGAGAGGGGGAAAACTGTGCAACAGAAGAGCCTCGCTGATGCTTTGTTCCCACRATGAGTGCCCACAGAAACCGTGTGCATCTGTGTCACAGAGGCTGAACCTGCTGCCACAAGCTGCGACGGAAGAGGGCTGGGCGAGGGTGGGGTGCAATGAATTATGGGTGATACACGAGTCAGGATTAAGAAAGGTGATAGGGAAAGAAGGGCGCGACGGTGGGGGCTTGTTGAAGAGTTGTTGGCAAGCGCAAGTAGTCAGGGGAGCAATCGAGGACAGTTAGGAGGGAGGGAGCTTAGTGGAGGGGCAGGAGGAGCTGCAGGAGTCAAGGAAGCGAGAGAGAGAGAGAGCAGAGAGAGGGGATATGGACCTGAGCCAAGGCCCGGTCGAGCGCAAAGCATACAGTGCAAGAATGCCAACAGACCCCCACCTACTAAACAGGGTGGAGAAAGAACAAGGGAGAGCAAAGTAAACAACTTTCAGAGTGCTACAAACTAAATCAAATGATTACCATGAGCTAAATGTGCAAATGACAGGACAAGAGGTGTTGGGTGTTGTGAGACGAGCATTTCCTGTGTGCTGCCTGCACCGTGTGCCTCTGGCCTCTTTGCTGCAGCTCACTTCCCTCTTCTGTGCCCCTGGACACACCAGTGTGACACATTGGCCTGATAACTGGCCTACAACTGCTCGCTTGCCAGCTCACTACTCTTGCTTCTTCGCCTTTGAGTCATTTCAGAGCAGGAACTTTTTTAAAAGATGTGAAAGCTGAGGGCATGCAAATTCACACTCTACCTTTCAAAAGTTCACAAAACAAAACTGTTCGCCTGTGTAAGAGAATCAAAGAAAATAAAAGCTGAATACATTTGTTCGTGCTGATTTTTTTTTTAAGATGCAACAAAGTCGCAAATGAATCACCTCCACCTGCTTCACATCTGCTCATGATCTCATAGTTGGCCTAATTTTTCCTCTGAGAGGACCATCAACTACTGTTGTTTTCTGTAGAGGTTATACCTAAAACGCAACTTCATTCAGGTAAATGGCTTGGCTGTTTGCAATGAGAATAAAACTAATTCTCCAACAGTTTTATAGCATTTCTACACAACACAC